GAAGCTGGTCCTTGAGCTACAGCACTGCTCAGTGGGCTTGGGAATGAAAACAGCCGAGGTGGAGGGAAGGTTGGAGTGGCTGCTTCTGGCTCCTCAGGCCCCCGGATGGGAAGAGGCAAAGCCACACTGAGGAGGTGACGTGCGGCCTTGGGGCAGAACAGGGACAAGGAGAAGGGTCTCCTGCCCCAGAGGAAGGCCATCGAGTAGACTTGCACTTAGTCCATTTAAAATTTTACTCTAATGACTTTGAGTTTTGTTTGTTTGTTCGTTTTAAAAATAGGTTATATGTTCACATGACTTGAAATTCATGAGGAGCCCGAGTGTGTAGTGAACAGCCCCCGTCCCTCAGCCACCCTGCTCCTTCTCTGCATGCTGTCAATTTGTCGTGACTCCCTCCAGAGAGATTTTATAAGCTTAGACACAAACAAATGTAATATATACACATACATATGTTAATGTATATCTTTCCTCATTTTTTAGCAGCTTTATATTAAGATATAATTCACAAACCGTACAGTCCACCCATTTAAAATGTCCAGTTTGCGTTTCACAGTTGTGTGCTGACACCTCAGTTTTCGGCGTTTTTCACCACCGCAGAAAGAAACCCTGAGCCCACTGGCCGTCAGTCCCCATCTCCCTCCCAGCCTCGAGCCTCGGGCAGACACTAACTGAGATCTGGTCCCCTTCATAATTTCTGTTTTCCAGAATTTTCTGGCTATTCTTGCTACCCCTCTCCCTCTTCTCCGAACTTTGGAATCAACTTATCTAGATTCCCCAACAAAAATCTGTCAGTATTTTACGAGATTTCATGAACTTGTAGGTTCATTCAGGAGGCCTGGCATCATTATGGAGTTGAAACTTCATGGTCTGGAGCACAGGGTGCCTCCTTTTGTTGCTGGCCTTCCTTGCTTGCTTTCGTGCTGGCAGGGTGTGGCTGGCAGCCGGGAGAACGCGTGCCTGCACGTCCGGCTGCCTGAGGGGCTTCTGCCATATGCCCGAGCAGAGGCCGGGATGCCAGGTGTCTGAGGTGGTTTCTCGCCTTCTTGCCGGAGTGTGCGGAGCTCGGGTTCTGGTCTGTGGTAGGTCCGGATTCAGGGTCTGCTTACCGGGCAGGTCGCTCTGTGCCTCCTGGTTCTGTGTCCCTGGCCACACGATGCCCACTGGCTGGAGGCTGGGGTGCGACCATGCGTGCAGTGCCTGGCACGGACGGACGCTCCACTGTGGTGGCTGCTCTTCCCGTCACCCCAGGGCAGCGATGGTGCGGGAGGGTCACACGTAGACAGTACCCTGGAGCAGGGGCGGTGCCTAGGAATGGAGACTACAGGGGTCCGACGGAGGGGAACCGGGCCTGGCTGGGATGTCCCGGCAAGGAAGGGCTCACCAGGGGAGAGGGGAAAGCTGTGGCCCCATGGAGCGGGTGGGCAGGGGGCACATGTGTATCTCTCGCCGGAACCCTACCTAACCTGGCAGGCAGCACAAATGGGTATGAGATTAAGGTTTAGGGTAACTGACTTGCCCAGAGGCATAGTGAGATCGAAACCTCAGTCTCCGGACGTGCCATCTGTGGACCTGCCCACCACACCCCCATATCAAACTCAAAATGACAAACCAGCCCTTACAGGCTGGTTTGGTTTTGTTTCTGTTTGTCAGGAGGGCAGGGAAGGAAGGCCCTTCTCCAGCCCTGGTCAGCTGAGCTAGGCTCCCTCAGCCTGTGTTTGCATAAGCCACGCCTGCCCTGCTGCTGGGACCTGCTGCTGACCAGCTGTTGAAGGGCCTTTGAGTAAACACGCCCTCTGACTTCAGGATTAGATTTCAGAGTACAAGAATTCTGAACTTCTCCTTTGTCTTGTTAGAAATGTGTTTTGGCCCCAGTGGAAGGATCCTTTGTCTATTCTAGAACTTCCCTGGTCTCACCTATTCCTGTGAAGCACAACGTGGACATTTACTTAACGCCACCACTTGCCACCTGTTTGTCAAGGCTGCCTGGTTTAATGGGATCTTGTTGCAGGAAAGAAAAGTTGCAGCAAGGGAGCCATGCTGTTGAGAATGAGCCAGGCGTACCTTTTATTTGTCTTTTGAATCTCCTTCGTTGGCAGGAAGTGCTGTGCCCAGTAGTTTCTGAGAGCTGCTCTCCTGCTGCCCACCTCCCTCCGCCCCGTACCCCCTGTGCAGCTGAGGAAACAGGCCTGTACGTAGAAAAACTGGGGTGTGAACCCAAGTATGACTCCAGACCCGGGCTCTTTTAGACCAGGTGCTTCTTCCTCAAGCTACGTGTGTGTCTCAGTGAGGTGAGAGCTGTGTCCGCAAGACTGACCCACTGTCCCCTGGAGAGGCTCAGGTGACCATGTAGCCTTCGCCTTTTCCACAGTCCAGTGTAAACAGCCCTGTGACTTGGAGCCACCAGGATGTGTGTGTTCTTAGAAAACCTGTTTATAGGTAGCCCTAAACAAAAACATTTATATCATCACTAAGGCATTTTTATTTGTGTGGTTCCTTGTTTGTAGAGCAGAGAAGAGTCCAGGGGTTTTAAAAGGTTTGAGGAAATGGGAAACTTCCATGTGGAAGGTTTACTACTAAAATGTGGAAAAAACCCAAGATGGCGTTTATTACCACCGCCGTGGTTTCAGCCTGTGCTGTGCCTGCCGCCATTCTTCAAGACCCCGTGGCAGTGAGGTTTCTTTAGGTTGTATGTGACAGAAAACCTGGCCAAAACTTGCTCTGTTGAAAAAGAGAGGAGCTTTGAAGTTAATTGGGGGTCGGCTTCATAGGAGATTTGGAACGTGGTCTCTCTTCCTCTCTTCGGGTGTCCACGAAGGACTCTCTAAGTCCTTGGGTTCACGGACAACTCCTTCTTGAAGGTCCGGATGCTTGTTGAGATGTGTGGGGGATGCGTGGCCCAGGCGCATGGTACGGTCGGCAGAAGGGCGAGTTCCAGTCCTTTGCATTGCCAGGTGCTGCCTCCGAGTAGCTGTGCGTCATCCGGGTAGAGATAGGGCTGTTTTCCCGAGAAAGGTGTGGTATGTGGGTCCCGTGTGGATGGGGAGTGTGACTCTAGTCTGAGGGCACAGAGGTGGGTGGTTTTCCTTCTGGCTTTGTCTTGGGTTCTTTGTGGCATTTGGAGCCATTTCTGGGCTTAAACGTCCCCCCATCCAGTATTGGCGTTAGGGTTGGTCAGGGATTATAAATCATCTAGGGCAAGATGCAGAGATTTGTTTTACTCATTTGGAGGAGAGTGGAGAGAAGGGAAGAATCTGTTGATGGAGAGAATGTGGGAACGACGGTGTTTATAAGGTTAGCATTTACACTCCTGCACAAAGCCTGTTTCCAGAATACCGTTGTCCCAGGGCCACTGGGCTGGTGACCGCCTGTGCCCCTCATCTCCTCCACTGGGCTTGGCATTGGCACTGTGCTCCGCCCCATCTTCAGAAACCAAGCAGTCTCACACCCATGCCTGTATGTGTGTGCGTGTGTGTGTGTGCACGTGCGCATGTGCGTGCATGTGTGCATGCGCATGCCCGTGATGACAGCAAGGAAGACACATTACTCTGTGATGAGACTTGGGGATCATCAGGCTGTATAGCTGATTTCTTCCTCTCTCCCAGTCTCTACCCAAAGAACCACAAGGAATAGGTACCACAGGTGGTACACGTCGCCATATGCCGAAGATATAGATAAATATGTGTATCTTCTATATAAATGACACTTCCATAAGTCATATTTTTGGTAAATCATGCTAGGTAAAACAAGAACAAGTTGATGTTGTTAAGAAACTGTTAAGAAACCTTGAAAGTGAACTTGTGTTTTCATTATTTTGCCAACTTATAAAGTTTCTGTATGCTAAGGACAAAGAGCTTTCACGCATGTCTTTGACGTGGTCTCCACTGGGAGCAGCTTACAGTCTGCAGGAAGAACGTTTAGAGAATATCATTCTGCAATGCCCCATTTATGATTTTTTGAGTTGGCTGGTTTCTCATAGATAGCATCGAATATACTTAACAAGGAGGGACACCAGAGAAGATAAGGCATTTGGGAAAGAGCTGAAGATAGTGGAGAAATAAATGCAAAGAGCATCGGTAGTGCTAATAACAGTTGTAGTTCCGGTGGGCTCATGAATGTCCAGCCCTGATAAGTGTAGCGTCCTTCACGTAGAGAGACTGACGCTAGAAGCTGAAGGCCTTGTCTCAGCACTTTCCCCATGGCCCACAGTGACCGTCTATTATTTCAGAGGTAAAAGCTTAGTGTTATAACTCAGTATCCTCATAAATCCTTATAATGAATGCAACGTGGACTCGTTTTTACAAGTCCTGGTCATGTGAGAGAGGCTACAGCACTTTGATTTGTTTATTATTTTTGCTAACAGTCGTTTTTGCCGAGAGCCTCCTTTCTGTAGGCTTGTTAAACGCATCATTTCATTTAATTCTCCCTCGCCTGTGAGGGACAAATATTATTCTTATTCCATTTTATTTACGAGGAGACTGAGCCATAGGGAGATTAACTCACTTGCCCATGACCACACAGGTAGAGAGTGGCCAGGCCCTGACTCAGATCCCACCTGGTCAGCCTATAGGGCAGTACTTGCAATGCCAGCTGTGCTGCCTGTGCCTGGAGCAGCAGCTGTCCAGCACAACAGGGCCAGGACAGGGGTGAGGGGTGAGGGGTGAGGGAATGGGTGTCGTGTCTGTGCTGGGTCCTATCCTCACTGAACATTTTATCTTTGCTCATCATGGATTTTCTTGGCATTAATTTTAAAATACTGCGTTTGGGTATTATTTATCTTGACCACTGGGTTTTCCAGTGCTCAGGGCAGATGTAATCACCTCTGCTTCGTGGTGAGGACCATGAGGGTTAGCGAGGTCAGGAACCTTCCCCAAGGTCCCATGGCTGGAAGTGGAGGAGCTGGGGGATTTGCCAGGTCTCTGGGGACCCCGGCTGGGGGCAGCAGCATGGCTTGCCTCAGTGGGGATTGTGTAGTTTATAGGAATGTGCATTCCCTCTTCTAGGTCGGGAAAGAGGTTGAAGAAGACACGAAAGTATGATATCATCACCACTCCGGCCGAGCGAGTGGAAATGGCCCCGCTGAATGACGAGGATGACGACGACGAGGACTCCACAGTATTCGACATCAAATACAGGTGCGTGTGGGCACAGCAGCTGCTCCTGGGCTCCAGGGCTTGAGGTGGTGGGATGGTTTACCTTCGAAAATCCTGCAAGGCCAGACATGTATTCTTGTTCTTTGGCCAAGTGTTTGACCTTGGGATGTGCTGCTTATGAGGGGAACTGCGACGATCCCTTCCTAGAGTACACAGCATCCCAAAGGCTGGCAGAGGAATACTTCCCGAGAAATGGTTATTCCCTCCCTTTCCCAGATGTGAACAGTGAGAAGTCAGCTTTGTGGGAGGAACAGGAGGGCTGAGTTTCAGGCAAGGGCTTGTTATGCACTGGCGATGGGGGGGTGGGGGGCTGGTCCAAGCAATCCCATCTGCCACGCACTGTGCGCGCGACTGGAAACTTCCCTTTCACCTGCGCTTAAATTGATTCTCGAGAGCATGGGGTGGGAGTTAAGGGTTGCTTCCTGGATGGCATTTACTGATGAGCTCCAAAGCCAGGTGTATTTCCTCAAGGTAGCCTGTAGGGAAGTCAGAATGGTGTTGTGGCTTTTGGGATGTGCTATAGGTATGTGGGATTCTCAGCGTAAGAGCTGCAAGTGAAAGTACTTTAGAGATGAGGCTTGGGGGCCCAGAGAGGGGATGTTTCTTGCCCAAGGTCTCTGTTCCTGGTAGAAAAGTGAGACGCAGACCCGGCTGGACCCAATCTGAGCTTCCCTCCTGCCCCACCACCCCCAGGCTCTCCAGAGAGACAAAACCAATAGGATGCATATCTCTACATAGAAAGGGATTTATTTTAAAGGTTCAAGCCTGAAGGCCCAAGAACCAGGAGAACCAGTGGCCTAAGTTCTAGTTCCAGGTCAAGAGAAGACCAATGCCCCGGCTCAAGAACAGTCAGGCAGAGAAAGCGAATTCTCCTTACTCAGCCTTTTGTTCTGTTTGGGCCTCCAGCGGATTAAATGAGACCCACTCACATTGGGGAGGGTCATCTCCTTTACTCGGGTTATTGATATAGTTGTTCATCTCATCCAAAAACACCCTCACAGACACGCCCGGAATAACGGTTGACCAAATATCTGGGCACCGTGAGACCCTGTCGCGTTGACTGGTAAGATGCAGCTTGTCCATGCCTGGACGGCACGTCTTCTGCACCTCCTTGACTTGTTCTCCAGCCCTTGGCTGTGCTTAGACCTCGGCCTTCCATATAAATCAGTAGCCGGATTCAGCAAAACAGCATTTGGGGTTTTGATTAGAACTGCGTGGACTCTATCAGTTTAGGGAGAATCAGCACCTTAATGTTGACTTTTCCAGTCTGTGACCATGAAATGACTCCATTTTTAAAATATTTTCAAAAATATCTTTCAGTACTTTCAAAAATTTATTCATAAATGTATTATAATTTTTTGTTATATATATTCCCAGGCATTTTATATTTTGAGATATATGCGCTTTAAAAATACTGTTTTAATTTATACTCATGTGTGGAAAAAATAGCTGTATTATCATATTTACATATATTCTTGATATTGCAAATAGAGTTTGTTAATGAATCACACCTAAATTTTATAAAGAACACAAAAACATTAAAACAGATTGATCATAGATAGCAGAGTAGGGGAACAAATCATTAGCTGTAATTTACATTTTTGGTGAAGAGCAGAACCCTTTAAGAAGAATCAAAACTATTAGTAATGTTCATCCATATGGCAAAATAATGTACATATAAGAAAGTTAGTGTTTATACTAATTTTATTGCTAAGGCATTTTATCTGACTCGCATTCAGTATACAGGAATAAAACAATGTGAAGAAAACTATGTCCTCTTTAGTCACAATAAAAAGGGTCCCCCACATCCCGCAGGCCTGGGGTGTCGTGCAACAGGAGCACTTGATGGCTTAAGTGGATCAATGAACTGTTTTCATTCTGAGCCACTGAATAGAATTTGATCCATATTTGGTGACTAGAATCACTCCTTGGGAGCTGCGATATACTGAGCCATTTTTGTGGTAGCCTTAGGTCTCACTAAATAAGACCCTCAACAAAGAAATGTAGCAATCAGTCTGTCCAGAAATTCTGTCCGTAGAGTCTTTCTTGAGTATAGAGTAGGGAAAAGGGGCCCTTTGTTGAGTACGTGGATACAAGTGTCATTGTCGCTGAGGACTGCTGAGTCGATACTGTGTCTGGTGCAATGCAGATAAGGTACGTGCCTGAAACCACTGTCAGGCTAAGACCCTTCCACAACTGGTCTCAATTCTTCGAATAATGGAGCAACTCCCTTTAGTGGGCTGACAATTAGTGCTACATTGACATTGCTGCTGGCTATGAAACTCATCACCAAAGGCAAATGAGTTTTTGGAAATTTATTTTTTTTCCAATCTTATTGAGATGGAATTGATATACATTACTGTGTAAGTTTAGAGTGTATAGCGTGATGACAACATACCCATATTGTGAAACAAGAACCACGATATGCTTAGTTAACATCTGTCACTTCGTATAGTTACAGTTTTTTTCCTTGAGATGAGAACTTTTAGGATCTACTGTCTTAACAACGTTAAAGTAGACCACACAGCAGGCAACTACAGTCATCACGGCGTGCGTTTCCCCAGTTCTGGTCTGTCTCAGACTGGGAGTTTGTTCCGCCCTCAACCCCCTGCCTCTGGTAGCCACCAATCTCGTTACTTTTTGTATGAGTTTGTTTTTTTTTCAGGTTTCACATATAAGTGAGATACAGTGTCCTTCCTTCTTAGTCTGACTTGCTTCATTTAGAACGGTGCCCTCGCTGGAGGGTCATGCACGTCGTTGCAAGTGGCAGGATTTCCTTCCTTCTCATGGCTGAATAGTATGTGTCCATGCATGTACACGCACAGCTCGTTTCCTTTAGCTAGTCATCTGTCAATGGACACTTAAGTTTCCATGTCTTGGCTATTGCGAATAATGCCACAATGAAAATAGGGGTGCAGATACCACTTCAGCATAGCGATTTCGTTTCCAAAGGCAAATGAATAAATTGAACCACCCAGTAGGTGTTAAGGTAACAGATGATACTTTTGTTTTTGAGAGTCCAGCTTTGCTCCCTGGTCAGTTGCGAGCACAAAAGCAGGTAAGGAACCGGCCTCAAAGCGTGCTCCGGAGCGTTTTCTTTGGCCACTGCAGTAACAGACACTCCACCTCTATCTGACAGCAGCGTGGAGCTCTTCCACACGTGGTAGTTGTTAATATGGGCATCGCTGTGGGCCCGAGGCACCTCCGTGTCTCTCCTCCACCCCTATTCTAGGCAGAAATGCAGGACCCAGCAAATCTCCTTGTATTAGTCTTCCACCCCAGATCATGCGCTGCACTGGGACCCCGTGTCCTGCAGGGTCAGTCTCCACGCCTGGGTTTCTGCTCCAGGGCTGTCAGCTTCTCCCTGCTGTCGCTTTGGGGACAGCTGTTCAAGCCAGCCATCATCACGTGATTTGAGACCTTGTGCCTAGTACCTTTTTAAAAATATCATTTTCTCATTTTTCGTTCACTGTGTCCAAAACTGCAGCTAATTTCTCAAAATATTGATTTTTTGAAATACAGCAACCTTGCTAAACTATTATTCTAGTAGTAGAACTGGGGATGTTTTGGGTTTTCTGCATAGATACATCATCTTAGACTAATAAGAGTTTCCCCTTCTCTAAGTCCTTCGACATTTTAGCTCTTTTTTTTTTTTTTTTTTTTTTAGCTTTTTATATTCACTTTTGGCCCCTAAGTCATTGTTAAATGGGACTAATGATAATAGGCATCCTGTCTTGTTCTTTATGTTACAGAGTATTGCTTTTACCATTGACCACTAAGAGTAGTGTTGGCTATGGGGTTTTGTAGAATTTTTTCCCCTCTATTCCTAGTTTGCTAATGCCAAATTTTATTAAATTCCTTTTCTAGCTCTATTGAGATTATGCTTTTTCCTTTAATCTTTTAGGGTGGTAAAATTATATTCATTGATTTCTCTAATATTTAACCAGCTTTGCATTCCTGAGATAAAATGAGCTAGGTCATGGCCATGTTGTCTTTTTTATACACATTGCTGCATTCAGTTTGCAGATATTTCATTCAGGACTTCTTTGTTTCTCTTAGTGACTGATATTGATTTGTCACTTTCCCACTTTGTAATGTCCTTGTTAGGCTTTGGTAAAAGTTTGATTAGTCTCATAAAACAAGTCAGAGTGTGTTCCTTATTTCCCTTTTCTTTGAAATAGTTTATATCAGGTTAGAATTGTTTCCTGAATGTTTAGTAGAATGTGCCAAAACTGGCTGGGAATAGCCCAATCCTTTCTTTGTGCAAAGATTTTTTAAAAACCATTAATGTTCAATTCTTTGAGTAGTTATAGGACTATTTAATCTTTATTTCTTCTTGGGTTGGTTTTGATGGGCTGTATTTTTCCAGGATCTTATCCATTTCATCTAAGATTTCAAATGTATTGTCTTCAGGTCGTTCACGCATCCTCTAATTATCTTTTTCGTCTTTGTAACATGTGTAGGCATGGTTCTTTTTTATCCTTAGTATTGAATATGTTCACTTTTTCTCCTTTTTCTTGATCCGTCTTACTGGAAGCTTAACTGTATTAGTCTACACAAAGAATTAACTTTTGGCTTCTTCGAATCCTCTTTATTATATTATCATTTTCAATTTCATTTGATTTCTGCTTCTCTTCCTTAAGCTTTCTCTGGGTGTGTTCTGTTCCTTTCTTCTAACTTGTATTGACTATTTAACACGTTCATTTTCAGCCCTTCTTTCTTAGAATAAGGGTTTATTCTGCAACTTCATTTAATTCGGTGCCTCTCACAGGCTTCCCTTGTCATTGTCAGGCCCTCACCTGCCTCCCTGTTTGTTGGGAAGGACTGGACTTCACATAGCTCATGTTAGATGCCTGGCTGTTTGTTTGTGGTCAAAGTAATACTGGGGTGTGAGTGAACTGGGTGGGGAATCACTAGACACAAGACCACCTTTGTCCTCAGGCTCAGAGACAACTGATCGTTCAGAGAGCTTTCCTTATTGCATGTGTAATGCATGGTATAGAGATTGCAGGTAAGAAGAAGGGAAAATCGAATCACCTCTACCCTCACTGCTTCACTATAACCACTAGAGTGTGTGTGAGTACACACGTGGAATTTGCTTTTTGCAGAAATGGGACCATGTGGCACTTGCTGCTTTGGAACATCGTCCACCTGAACAGCACATCACAAACAACTTTTTAGGTCTTGTTCTTTGAAAAGAACAAGAAATTTAGGGCCAATTTTATGTTTTGTTTAGCATTTTTGAGAACTTGTCTGCTACACGTGACGATCTGTTAATAGGTACTTTGTTTTTCCCCTTTGGACAAAGCTCAATTCAACTTTTTGGTTCTCTCTGGGAAATAGTGCATTTAAATCGGATGCGGCTGGATGGTGACCTTGGGTGATTTTATGAGTGTATGCGAAGAGGAAAATCACTTTTTGTTGCCAGGGCAGTAAGGCAGTCACCTGGCTCTTACTGTTATACCTGCAGTTCTGATAGTATCTCGTGGCTCGGATCCGGCACACATGAGCCAGGCAGGAAGTGGAGAGAAGGCAGGCAAGGCGAGGCTTCTGCAGACAGCCCCCTTCCAGGCTCCCATGCAACTGAGATGTTATAATCCATGAGATAAGACCTCCAGTGCGTAGGGCTAGATGTTGGGGGCGGGGAGAAAAAGTTGGTAGAGATGACATTCCAACTCTACTTAAAAAGGCTAATTAAAAGAGAGATGATGACTAAACAGAGTACAGAGAAGCCTGGGGCTTTGAAATTATTCCATATTTCAAAAGGCACTTGAATCTTGATGGCATGTGTTTTGAGCCTGGTTGGCCTGCATGCGGTTGTGGCTGATGTTTGGGGCCTCTGCACATCCCTGGTTTATTACAGGAATCTTTTGTGATACCCTGTGGGCGTCCCCCAAGGGGAGGCAGATGCCACTCTTCCATTCGTCTGGTAGGTGGCCCCGGCAGCTGTGACAGATGCAGCCCAAAGGTACGGTGCTGCTCCTGCCAGCCTTGCCTCCCCCAGGAGGGTGGCCCCGACTCCCTGCTCCTTGGGTGTGGAAAAGACGTGTCCTGTGGGGGTATGGACATCTGTTCTAGAATTGCCTGCCTTCCTCCCTCCTGTGGATACAGCTTCCTGTGGGAATTTAATTAGAAACTGATGAGATTTCCCCTGCAATGCTGGGGGCCGTGCCTGGCATCTTTTCTTTGGAACGAAGGGCATTTGGTGGCTGTTCATAGCAAGGGGACCCTGGAGGTGAGGCTGGGAGTAAGAGAAAACAGACTTGACTTGCTCATCCCTAGACTGAAGCCTGCGGCTCAGGTCCCCACTAACACCCCATGGCAGTTGCTGAGCACCCTCAAGGCTGCCTTCTCGAGTAGTTGGGCTCAGAGGCCCTTCTGTCCACCCCATGTTTCCTCATCTTCTGAGGATGAGGAGCAAAGCTGTTTAGAGCATCAGTGTGTGGACAGTGTGAAAGTGATGAGTACTGTGAGCTTCTGAGGCCTAGAAGGAATCAGAGGGGACCTGCAGACTTCCCCGCAGGTGCTGGGGCATCCTACCTGGGCCTGAAACAGCAATAGCGGTCACCCCCACATCAGTGTGAATAAAACTGCCAACCCTCTTCCTTGCAGAATGCTGAGCTTATGTGTTAAAAGTGGGTGTCTCAAGGGGCATGTTTGTTACTTTGAAAAGCAATATTGGCGTTCTGGGGGGTCTCAGGTATGGTATTGTGTGCCTTAAAACCATTTGATTTTTATGTCTGTGAGGCGTGAGCTTATGTGAACAGGAATTTGTGTGTCAATGAAAATTTACTACTAAACAAATCTTACCTGGTTTCCTGTCTACATACTACACAAACAGTTTATAGTGCTGCCTAAGACTCAAAAAACAAGAGAGAGAGAAAGGGGAGCGCAGTCCGAACTAGCAGTGCTTCTGTAGGGCTAGCCACATTTCTCAGTTGTTTTTCTCCGTGCGTGGTGTCCGGTGTGGTCCCCGCATCTGCGCACTCGCAGGCAGGGCCTCCCTCCCTCCCTTCCTCCTGCAGCGTCCTGGCCTGCTGCACTGCGAGGTCAGCTGGCGGGTGCTGGACGGGTGCTGAGACAGGTGCTTTCACGTCGAGGGCTCTTTCCACTGACAGACAAGCTTCTAGAAGACCAGAGGACAAGGACAGGCCAGGACATGTCCCTCTGCTCTGGGTCGTGACAACCCAGTGTTGCTGTACAGGACACTTGTACATCTGTAAGGAAGAAGCCTGGGTCACGGCATGTAAACGTGCCTTCACCTCTCACAGTTTCCATGGAGGGCGAGGGCAGGGTCAGCAGGGACAATCCTGTCTGGTTTACCTGGACGATGGTGCAGGACTCCCATCAGCAGTTTGGCTGCTCTGGGGAGAAAAGGAGGCAGACCTGGCCTCTTAGAAATCTCTGCTTATCATAGCTCACGAGCCTGCTAAGTGCATTCACTGTGAGTGCAAGATGGGTGAGCCTGGCGCTGTCCTCCGGGAGCTCATGCTGTGACAGGGACATAGCCAGGAACACTGGCACTTATAGAATGAAAGGCGTGAGAAACGCCATAGGGAGGAAAGAACAGGGTGCTGCAGGCGCCTCTCCCTGGCGGGAAGCTTACAGTGGGCTTGGAAGGACCCGGAGGCGAGCTCAAAGCGTGTGCTGGCGCAGGGAGAGCTGAGGGCAATGCAGGAAGGAGCCCTAGCAGACGCAGCACGTCCAGGTTCGAGTGAGCGCGGGGATAGGCAGGTGAGCTGCAGCTGTGCGCCTCTGCCCCCCAGGGCCCTCCTCAGAAGAACAGGGGGCCTTACGACCTCAGGGAAGCAAGGGCGAAGAGCAGACCCAGGGCCAGGGCGGGACAGTCAGCCCACTCGCCCCATCCCTGTGTCCACGGTCCCTGGAGCTTTCTGGTCACAGTCACACCAGAGGGTCTGAAGATGGCCAGCTGTGCTGCTCACACTTGGGCTGGGGTCACCTCCTTTGGGAGAGGCCCAGTGAGCCGATGACATCCATGGGCATTTGCAGGTGCCCAGAGTGACCGCTCCTCTGGAGGTGTGTAAACACACCTGTGTGTTCTCTCCAGTAGCAGGCCTGGCGGTTCAGTTCTGCCGTGGGAGGAGGATGAGGTGTAGCGGCGCGCAGGACGAGTCACGGAGGGCTCCTGCCATCTGCTCGTGTCTCTCCACCCACCGTGCATGTTTACGTTGTGGGGTTTTTCCTGTCAACACAAGGGTGCCAACAGCTGTTCAGGGAGATGGGGCGCAGACAGGGGACCTGGCAGAGCATCCCCGGGGTATGCTCTCAGGGAGTCCCTAAGACACCGTATCCCCAGATCGGTGCTGTCAGGACACCTGTGGTTGGTGTCAGCGGTTGGTGTGTAAAGTTTGCACTCTGCGAACTTTGACGTCTGCTCTCCCCCGATCCAGCAGGCCTGCCGTGGTTGGCTTTGGTCCACATGCGCATCCTCGCTGAACCTGGTACCAGTGCCTGGGCCCCTGCCCCTCATCCGCATCAGTGAACTGCAGGGGGTGGGGTGGCAGACCTGACTGTGAGCAGGCCTGGTGGGAGGCCTGGCATCTGAGGCCCTCAGGCTGCATCTGTAGAGTGGGGGCGAGTGCCTGGGCTCCGGCCATCAGTCAGTGGGGGTTAGCCCCCTCCCCAACCTGGGGGTGGGCAGTGGGCGCTCTGGGAAAGCCCCTGCACAGCTTGCACGCGGCCGTGGGGTTTATCTTCTTTCTTTAGTCCGTTGACCCTAGCGGCCAGTATTAGGATACCCATTTCTATTTTTTTTCTTTAAAACAGTTTTTATTTGGACATAATTTAAAACTTTAAAAAAAGGTTACAAAAACAAAAATAGAATAGGGAACATCTTATAACCTTTATCTAGATTTTCCTATTTTAACGTTTCACCTCATTTGCCTAATGAGGGCTATGTGTGTAAATACAGTTTTTTCTGAACCATTAGAGGATAAGTTACATATATTATGTCCCTTTTCTGCAAATACTTAAGTGTATATTTCCTAAAAATAAGATGTCCATATCTCTTAATAGTTACCTGACATGATAATATTTTTATTCGGGTTCATGTAACATTATGAAAATAAGCTATTACTTTATAAATTTTATTAAGCCCCCATCCTTTTTACATGTGTGATTCTGTAATGCCCACGATCAAACAGATTGATGATAGTGGTGGCTCCGACCTCTCAGACTCTCTCTCCTTTGTGAAGTCCCTGTAGACGATGTCTTGAATAGATTTAGTTGGTAAGCTTTCTTTTCACTCATTGCACAAGTATTTCTTGTATTCCCTTCCTTGTCTGACACTGTGCTTGGTGTGAGCTCAGATGAGGGTCCGGCCTGCAAGGAGCTTCCAGCCTAAGCCAGAGATGGGAATCAGATAATTACATAAGCCAGGGTCGGTAAACGGGGCCACATGTGGCTCACAGCCTGGTTTTGTACAGCTCGTAAGCCAAAAAGGATTTTTATATTTTTGATGGTTGAAAAGAAAAGAATAATCTCATTTCATGATGTGAAAATTATGTGCAGTGGAAATTTCAGTGCCCATAAAGTTTTATTGGAACACAGCCATACCTTAGCATTTCCGTGCTGTCTGGCTGCTTTTGTCCCACAGCAGCGAGGTGTGTTGACAATACTGCGTGGACTTTTACAGAAAACGTTTGCCGAGCCCTGGCATTAACACCTGCAGAAGTGCTAGGAGGGAGGGTGTGCAGGAGAAAAGAGATTGTGGACTGGAGATCTGCCTGGGGAGTTAGGGCAGGATCCTGAGCTGGGAGCTGAGGGAAGGGAGGAGTCACCTGGAGGAGTGGGCGTGCCCTCCGTGCAGCGGCGCATTCGGAGGTGTCCTGGCTGGGGGCGCGGCCTGCAGGATGGAGCCAGTAGGGGAGGGGTCGGAGTGGGAAGGCGCTGACTCGCTCTTTTTTTTTTTTCTTTTAGGTAAAACCTGTTTTCCATCTTGTTGGCATCCTGTGGAAAGTTGGTCTGCTGCAGCCCAGGGTGTGAAGGTCTGGAAGCCATCTTGTCCGAGGTGTTGAAACCAAAACAAACATTATTTATGAAACTGGCACCTTTTTGTGTGTTGAATATCTGCTCAGAATGTCACCACAGGGGAGTCGCCTCTACCACCCTCCGGACGCCACTTTAAAATGTCAACCCTTCTTCCTCCTCGAGAGGGTTTTTGCCTTGCTAAGGGGCAAAGGGTACCAACACGTTGGTTTTAAAAAACAGTAATTTGAAGTCAACTGTTGACAAAAGTAAAAGAGATCAGAAGTTATCAAGAACCCGAAAAAAGCCTGAAGGACATCCACCTGCATGTTTGGGACTTCTGACGTCTGCTGTCCTGGGTCTACGACGTTGTAGACATCTGACCCCTTGGTGGTCTTCTGGGCTTGGTCAAGTTCTGGCCTTACGTTGCTGATGGCCATGTGAAAGTTCAAAGTGAAAGTGCTCAGAGGTGGTCAGCACCTAGTGGACGTGCACACACTGGTCACTCCTTTCCTTTTTAAAAAAATATTCAGCACAATTAGGCATGGCTAGTTCACAAAGCATTTTGAATATCAGGGGGAAATGTGTGTGTGTGTGCGTGTACATAGGAAATATTTTCTCCTCTGAGGGGGAAAAGAAAGCACCAGGCAGCCTTTGGTTAGTCACATCCTTCTTGTGTTTCTCTGCCTGTCATAGCTCTTACATTGTCGGTCTTAGAAATCTAAGCTTAGAATTTCACTGTGGCAATTTAAATGAATGATGATTTGGTTGGTTGAAAACGCGTACTGTCTTGGGCTATATTTGAAGTTGGGGTAGGCCAGGCTGGACTAGAAACCCACTGGACCCAGGAGGAAACTGCAGGAAGGCCGTCCCCACGGATGTAGGTTAGGGGTTGAGGTGGCTTCTGGCAGCAGGGACTTGGGCCGGACTCTCAGGTTGATAGTGGCCTGTTCCGCTGTTTGCCCAGAGCCAATGCTTCTGCTAAAGTCCACTGGCAGAGTGCCTTTGGGCCCTGGGACTCTGTTCTTTCTGGAAAGGTTTTTTTGTACTTTTTTATTTCCTTTTTTCTTTTCTGGCATTCTGCAGGGTTTGTGTCTTTGCCTGTTAGTTGTCTGCACCATTGCTTTGCATGAAAAGAATGGCCATTCCCGACTCACCCTTATTTTCAGGTTTTTCAGTATCCCAAGAAGGGGCTGCTGGAGCTGCAGGGTCCCCTGGTGGTCCATAGGAAGGCATGTTGGCCTCTGCAGGAAAGAGGGGACTGCTGGGCAGATCACTCTGAGATGCTGCTGAACGGAGAGCTTGTCTGGCCGGCTCCTCCCTGATTTCATTTCCTTTGTTGACTTTCCTTTCCCTTTTCTCTGTCTTGTTTGCCAGAGGGGCAGGCCTGCTTTACCTCTCCCCTCCACAGTGTCCTCATGGGCCAGACTGGTGACTACAGGGGACGGGCCACCTAGCAGCGGTGCGCCCTCCGAACCTTTGAACTGGAATTGCCCTCGCACTTGCCTTTTTTGACAGCTGCAGCTGAGTGATTTGCGGGAAAGCTGGCTTCCTCTGCCTTATGCACAAACACTGGCTCTCCTGCCAGGTGCTCGCCAATGGGCCTGGCAGAAGTGGCCGAAAATGACCTTCCAAATTCTGGAGCTTCAACACTGTAGGCTCTTAGGCTCTGAAATTAAAAACAAAAAACAAAAAACAAACCCTTTGCTGTGAATCATGTGTGCACAGTTTGGATGTTTTGTGAGATGGAGCCCAGCAAGGTGCCTTTTGGTGATCAGGGAGGGGTTCAGGCACAAGGGTGGGGTGGGGGGTAGGTGGAGGTGGGGCCCAGTGGGAGCTGCTTGCACCTGGTGGTTTATAAAAAAGCTTAGAAACGAACTGGCCCTTGTGGAAGAGAGGGGAAAAGCTGTTTTTCCATATATACTCATAGGCCCGTCTGATCATTTCCTGGAAGCTGCTTCTTTGGTTAAGAAATATTGAGCCCTCATTGTTTCTGCAGGATCTTGGGGTGTCTCCCAAGAACAGAGAACCAATCATGTCAGAAACTACTGTTTTTTTTTTTTTTTTTTTTAAAGGCATTGTTATTCCCACGTGACAGATGAGGACACTGAGGCCTTGAGTGGGGAAGTCACTTGCACAGGTCTCACATTGAAGAAATGCAGCAGGGATTCAAACACAGGTCCAGCCGACTGGCTCATTGTTGCCTCCTGCTTGGCTTGGTTTACGCTTTCCAGGAGTGGGGCTGGGATGAGTTCAGGCTGAGTGCAGGCACCAATGAGTAAGCTCCAGAAAGAAAAGCTCGTTGGCTTCCATTCTAACGCGGCCTCCTTGGAAGTTAGGGAGAAGCTTATGGGTACGGTCTGCCTTGCTCCCCCGAGGAGCTGATCCTGTCTCCTGCCTTCCAGAGTTGTTGACGGGGCTCTTTCCTTTGTTTTAGGGTTTTTTTCATAGTTGTCCTCTGTGCCTTTCTTCTTCTCTTGATCTCTTCCCTTGTGGTTTGCTGTTTTCCTTCACTGTTTTGTTTAGGTTCCTTTCTCTTTGTTCTTTGTACATTTTTGGTAGGTTTTTGGTTTGCGGTTACCATGAGGTTTATGTATATCGTTCTTTATCTATAGAAGTCTATTTTAAGCTGATAGGTGTTCAAGTTCGAATATATTCTGTAAGGACTACATTTTCACGCCCCTCTCCATGCTTCATGTTATCAATGTCATATTTTAGATCTTTTTGTGGTGTATATCTCCTAACTACTTACTGTAGTTTGAGTTGAATTTGATATTTTTTCCTTTTAATCTTCACAGTAGCTTTTTAAATGTCTTATTTAACTGGGAGGTTTTCCTTTTCTCATATTATCATATTTCTGGTTATGGCCTTTCTTTTTCTTCTTAAAGAAGACTCTAACATTTCTTGTTAAGCTAGTTTAATGGTGATGAAGTCCTTTAGTTTTTGCTTTTCCAGTAAACACTTTATCTCTTCTTCAGTTCTGAATGATAATCTTGCTAGGTAAATTATTCTCAGTGGTAGGGTCCTTCTTTTCAGCACTTTATTTTTTATTTTTTTCAACATTTCATGTTTTAATTTTACCCCTCCCCTTCCTTTCTGGTAACCACTAGTCCATTGGCCATGTCCATGAGGCTTTGTTTTTGTCCTATTCATTTGTTGCGTGTAGGTTTATATCCCACTTATGTGATATCATGTGATTTTTAACCTCTTCTGTCTGGCTTATTTCGCTTAGTATGATTATTTCAAGGTCCATCCATGTTGTCGCAAATGGCAGTATTTCATCTCTTCTTGTGGCTGAGTAATATTCCATTGTGTATATGTACCACAGCTTCTTTAGCCAGTCGTCTATCGTAGGACACTTTGGTTCTTTTCAGCACTTTAAACATATCCTGCCACTCCCTTCTGGCTGTAAATTTGATGATGAGAAATCAGCTGATGCCCTTAGAGGGTTTCCTTTGTATGTCACTCGTTTCTCTCTTGCTTCCTTTAAGATGAGCTCTTTAACTTTTGCCATTTTAACTACTCTATGTCGTGGTGTGGGTGTCTTTGGGGTTCATCTCGTTTGGAACTCTCTGTGCTTCCTGGGCCTGGATGTCTGTTTCCTTCCCCAGGTCAGGAAAGTTTTCAGCCATTATTTCTTTAAAGTTTCTGTTCCTTTCTGTCTTCTCCTTCTGGGATCCCTATAATATGAATGTTTGAGGGCTCGATGTTATTCCAGAGGTCCCTTAAATTATTGTTTTTTTGTTTTTTCTTTTTTCTTTCTGCTGTTCTGATTGGTTGGTTTCTACTAGCCTGTCTCTAGGTTGCTGCTTGGTTCTTCTGTATTAGCTAATCTGCTGTTGATTCATTCTAATGTGTTTTTCATTTCAGTTGCTGTATTCTTCAGGTCTGCTTGGTTCTTTCTTATGCTTCTCTTTTTTGATGCTCTCCTTAGTTCCTCTGTTCCACCCTTAAGTTCAGGGAGGATCTTCACCACCATTTCTTTGAATTCTTTTTCAGGCAAATTACTTATTTCCATTTCCTTAGGGTTTCCCCTTACTCCTGGGGATGCTTCTTATTCCTTCATCTGAGAGACATTCTTCTGTTTTTTCATTTTGTTTGACTTTTTATGTTTGTTTACATGAATTAGACAAAATTGCTGTCTCTTCAAATCTTGAGACATAGCCTTATATGGAGGTGGCCTCTGTGTGCCAGGTGTCTTTGGCAGGCCGGTAGGAGCCGAGTGAGTGCCTAAGGTGTCCAGGGCACTGGCCTACGAGCAGGAGCCGTTCCAGGCGGGGAGGTTGGGTGCGTGTAGTGACGCCCTGTTGGTCCTGCTTGCTCCCTTTGTCCAGGCCAAAATAGCTCAGGCGATGTGTCCAGAAACACACAGCTGCGACCTTGCAGGCAGGGTGAGGTCCTGGATAGAGCCCCTGCCCGCCCCATCGAGGTGGAGGGGACGTGAACCGCCTCCTCTGGCTGCCTGGGCTCCCCGGCCTCTCTCTGCTGCCCCTGTCTGTCTGGTTTGTTGCACAGAACGTGGTCCATGTGGAAGCGATCCCAGGCCGCTCTAAGGTGGGCTGGGCAGCGCGTGGCTCTGAGCATGTGCTCACACCTGGCGCAGTGCCTGCCAGGATGAATCACGTGGCTCCGAGCATGCGCTCACACCTGGCGCAGTATCGGCCCAGGATGAATCACGTGGCTCCGAGCATGCGCTCACACCTGGCGCAGTATCGGCCCAGGATGGATCACGTGGCTCCGAGCATGCGCTCACACCTGGCGCAGTGCCTGCTGGGAGGAGCGCTCTCTCAGGGAGGCCAGGTGGCTGTGGCGACGCCGTGTTTCCCGCCGGCGCTCCCCTTCTCTGGAGTGGCGACGCCGTTGTGTTCCCGCCGGCTCCTCTTCTCTGGAGGCGAAGGCTCCAGGCAGTGTAGCTGGGAAGGCGCCGTGGTGATCCCGCAGGTAGGCCGAAGCCCCCGAGTAGGGCTCTTGTCGCCCCGTGGAGGTGGGGGTGACGCAAACCTCCTCCTCAGGCCCGGGAGAGTTCCCGCAGCCGCCGGGCCTCCCTCGGCTTCCCAGCCTTCTCTCTTCTCTTTCTCTAGTTTGTTGTCATAAGCTGGTCACTCAGGGCTCGGTCGTCCCTCAGGAGTAACTCCCCCCTACCCAGGTGTATGTTTGGTTTTGCTCACAGGAGGGGGTCAGTGCAGCGTCCTCCTACGCCGCCGCCATCTTCTTTACCCCGTCTGCATTTTCCATCATGAAAGAATTATATGGCTGTTCTTACGCTGGAGGGGGATGGAGGGGGATGGGAGAGGAGTTGTTGCAAAATGATGTTTTGTAAAGACATTGACACATTATCCCCAAAAGGGATTTTGTATTTCTCACCACTGACAGTTTTCTAGGCCTTCTGAGGGTATTAACGTTAGGTTTCGTCCTTTGAGGGTGAGGGGTGAGCAAGCTCTGAGAGCCTGGAATTGTCTGCTGCAGCCCAGCAGTGCAGAAAAAGTGCCTGCCCCAGTGAGACCCCAGACCGCTTCGCAGAGATAGGGAGACAGGTGGGTGCCAGCACTTACCTGGCAGTGCCGGCATCTTGAAACATCTTTGTGGTTTTTATTTATCGGTGAATTCAGGAATGCTCGATGTGGACTCAGTGCATACAACACACAACTTGTGCAAGCAGGGTTTATTTGCATTGTTGCTGGGAACCAAATAGACAGCATTCTGGGTATTTGTCATGAGCTATACCTGGCATTGCTACCTGAGTCCTTGGTCCATGAACTGCCTGGGTGTGACTCTTCTTGTAAAGTGCCTCAAAATATGCTCATATTTTGTGTTCAGTCTTCTCTAGGTGTGGTTTTGTCGGCTTATCATCAAGCTCTGTTTCCCATGGATGGGTTTTTTGATGAGCTAAATCCGCATGGACGGGAATGCAGTGGGTAAAGCAGGGGGCCCACAGGCTCTGGTTTAAATGTTTAGCTGGGTGCATTGGCGCAGGGAGCTGTGGATGGTGTCCTGTCGCAGGCAGGTGAGAATGTTGTGGATGATTCATAGTGGAGTCTGCAAAAACAGCTGGGTGGTGTTGAGTGGGGTGGGAAGAGGAATCGGAACACAGACAGACCTCCCTGCGATTTATGGCCTTGCTGCTCATGAGCTGTGTGAGCTTGGCCTCACTTTTCTCACCTGTAATATGGGAGCCAGCTTACCTCTTGGGTATTGTGATCATTAAGAAAAATAATCTAGCAAAGTGCATGCTGCATGTGCTTGGCACAGGGTCACTCAGGAAACTGTCACCTCTGCCACCACTACTGGTGATGTTTGAGTCCCTCCAGTGTGCCAGATGCTTGTGCATTCACTTTCTTAATTCAGTCCTTTGGAGAGTCCTTTAGTTAGGTGTCATCCTGGAACCAGCTTGGAGTTCTGCCATCATTTCCTTAGGCTCCGAGCTGTTTCCACTGAAAACTGTATTGCCTTCCTGGACTCTTCATAAGATAACAAATCTCACATCAACACCCTGAGTCCAGCCAACAACACGACCAGAGCGGTGACGGTCTTCATTTTGTACTTGGGGGAGCGGGACCTGGAAGGTTTCGTCGCTCTGCAGGTTCCCCTGGTTATAAGGGATGAGTCACAGCATGGGTTTCCACTTTCCTCTGAAGGGAGGAGTCAGGGCCTTTCCCTTCTGAGACCATAGAAACTCCCTCGTGGATGGCATAAGACATCTGAACTCTGGGTAAGGGCCCGTGAAGGCCACATGTCCTGATTGGCACGCCACACTCTGGCGGGCTGCACTCCGGCTGTGG